CCCGAAAAGAATAATATTTTGCGAAAATTATGCATTTAAAATGGGAAGGACGTATTCTAGTATCAATTTATATGATAAGATTTTATCAGTTGTGCCCTGTTAAGAAACAAGAGAAAGACCTTGTATGTAAGGTCCCTGCTGCATGTGCCAGTCAGTACACAATCTGGCAACGTTAGTATGTTAGCGCACGCGCAATATCTCACCAGAGGAGTTATATTTTGTGATAAATGTGCATTTAATATGGTTAGGGGGTATCTCAGCATGGATTTCTGCAATTAATTGTTTTCAGTAGACCTGTGTTCATAATTGGGAGAGCGCCCTAGCCTGTAGGGTGCAAAACTCCTACTTCATCCCATCCCGCCCTTCCCCCTCGCCGCCCTTGCTCTTCGCTCATCCTCCTTTTTCTTCTACCGCCCTCAGCTATCTCCCCTGCTGTCTTTTCTCACTCTCCCACTCTCCCACCCCTCTCTTCCTCAGCAAGCTATATTATGCAGTCTTCCTCAGTCCGTATTGCACGCCTGAAACAGCTAGTGCTCGCGCATGCGCAATATCTCTCGAGAAGAATATTTTGCACAAATTATGCATTTAAAATGAAGAGGAGGTATTCTAGCATAGATTTATATGATAAGATTCTATCAGTAGACCTCACTTAAGAAATAGGAAGCAGACCTTGTTGCAGACCTCTCTCAATCTATAATATTCACTTTGCTCCCAGCATCGCTCCCTGCGTTCCCCGCTATGCTAATGTACATGAAGATGGCGCTTGTGCGTCGGTCACCGTTGACTGTCTGTCACGATATTTTTCTCAAGATGGCGGTCGTCATGTATAATCCGTGATAATGCATAATTAATAATCGTGTAAAAATGTAACGTAATAAAATGTCAGACGAACTGTGAGTGACAGAACTAAAGTTCGAGAATGAAAAGACAAACAGCTACGAGATTGTGTTATCAAGCTGTAAAGAAAATCCTGTTTAATATCGGATTCTATGTACACATGCAATATCCATACGAAAAATTCCACGCCAATCAACAATGGATCATCTAACAATCATCTGACAATCAACAATGGATTGTCAGTCGAATATAACAACGTCGTTGTTGATATAGTATCAACATACTATCCTCGTGTTGTCAGGAGCGAATAAAAACAAATGACGTCATTATCATTTATTGTTTGTTTGGTTTTCAAATTTTTCATTGGTTTGTTTGTTTTCATTGACTCCCGATGCTACATATTATCGGGAGCGAATCAAAGCGAATTTTTCTCAATTTTGCCGTCGTTTATTGTTTGTTTATTTGTTTTGTCATTCAATTATTCATCGTCTTTGTTTTTCATTCGCTCCCGCCGTTTTCAACACGCGATCCATCGACAACACAACTCTACACTCTACAGACCTGAACAGACCTATGTTAGTTAAGCAACGCAAATGAATGAAAGCACACCATATCTCTTCGCCCCTCAATGACCCATAAATAACAACAAGGTAGCGATGATGTCACGTGACGTCACGCGGCAGCCATGTTGGTCGGCCCGGCAGTCTAGCAGATGGTAGACAGTGAGGAGGTTGGACATTGTTGCAGCGCGCAGTGTTATATTAATGTCATTTAACTTATGTCGATATCGTCTGGACATTATGTGTAAAGACGTAGCATGCATGACTTGACTGGTAGGCACGCACGCACGCACGCACATACGTACATACGCACGCACGCACGCACATACGTACAT